GATGGCCATCGGGACCGACGCTCGGCCGTGACTTCAACTTGGAACGGGGGAAGCCCTGAAGGACAGAGGGGCACCTGCGAACGCGATTGTCATTAAATAGTCTTTGATGAATTCACTGCGTTCCTGGGTTCTAAGCGCAGCGCGTTACCTTCCAGCGTTGAGAGGGGGGCCTGGCGCGGTCGCTAGGTGGCACTCTTGTAGCCAGGAAAATGCGGGGGAGCCCGAAAATAACTCGAGATTTTGCCAGCCGTAAGGCTTAGGCGTTTATCCTTTTTTTTTCCTTCCTTGAGTCAAAACACCCGTGGTATATATATACATTTATTACACAATTGTTATTGTAATGTTCTTGAAATGTCGTTAGGGGTTGTAGCGTTACGGAATTCTCCGGATTATAAAGTAAGAAGCACCCCCCACCCCCCCCCCCCAAAAAAAAGACCTGCCATCGGTGTCAATGCAGTTACACAAATCTGGTCGGTCACACACACGTAACGGATTATAAGACGCGCCCTCAACTTTTTGCTTTAATATACGAGGAGTTGGTGGTGGGGGGTGGTGCGTCTTATAAACCGGAGAATACGGTCAATTGGCAACAGAGAACGGTGCAGATCAATCCGTTGCTGTGCCGTACTTCTATGCTCCAACGTCTTTGTTTCCCGCATTCGCCAATCCGCACTGACCAGCGTGGTGAAGTATGGTCAAACAACACCCCGCCCCCCGCCCCCGCACGAAAAAAAGGGTTAATTCGGCAAGGACCCATATCCATCAGTGTGTATGGAGGCCCAAAGTTTTCCCCTATTGTGTATAGTTTTATTAAACTTAACTAAGTTTACATTGCGGCTTTAAACGGATTGCCGTTTTACATAACTTGGCTCTTGTACATAAGACGTTAATAATAAGAGGCTGAATGGCTTTCTAACTTGGTCCGTTTTGTCCATTCATAATGTACCTGTCATTAAAAAATACTGCACTACTATATACATACGAATCATATATGATCGATCTGACATTTGGCTTTACTAAAAGTTTTTTATTTATTTTTATTTGAAAGGTCTTCCCCTGTGTTAATCTCTACAGGAGGCACTGAGCCAGTGAACTAAATGCCACATTAGTATGCCAGGGTGATAGTCTACCCATACAGAGCAACGGCTGTTGACTCCCCACTAAGTAGTACTAATTTTTATCCACCCAGTAAGAGTCATTGGCTGTCGATCCACGACCGGGGAAATGTGATGATATATATAAAAAACAATGCGTGCTTTTCATTTCCGGAACACTGTTAAGTTACAGGTGTCTCTTGAGAGAGAGAGATGCTGTTAATAAAAGTCAACGGCCTTGGACATTGGAACGAGACTAACAACGGAGAAGCAGTCAAAGGAGGGAAACGCGCTGAGAGTACGTCCACACCGCGGAGATGGAGCGACGAGACCGGCTCGTTTGCGGGTGCTAGGCATGGCTACGGCCTGGGGGAGCTTTCGTCCAGCAGTCGATTAATGATGGCCAATGATGATGATCATGATGTTTAATCAAACGAGTAATGGAGAGGCACGTATTAGCCAGAACTCCACCGTGACTCCACGCATTGATACGAAACTAAACGAAACTTTTTTTTATATTTTACCGGGTCAGGCCCACTAATCTGCACAGCTCTTTTCAGAAGCGACCTGGCCACAATTGATATAGCTCAACAAAGTGGCTTATCATCGCGTGGACTTTTATAGCAGCCAAATACTCCAAACGTTTAGTCCATTCGTCGATTGGCTTTCCAGAGCAGTGCTTTGACAAAACGTAACCGTAAAGTAAATTGTCACGTTGGTGGCCCCTGAGCCATTTGTGGTAATTCCACATTCGCATGTACGAGTGCCGGTTTGTTCCGGAGAAAATGTGCACATCATTCCCAATCAAGCCTGTACAAATGATGCAGGGGCTTTCAGAGGATGCTTATTTATATATGTATGCTTTTGCCAAGCGCTCTGATTTTTTAACTCAAAAGCGTGAGAATTTAATAAAACCCGGATTTTTTTTTTTACATTTTTCAGCTCCGCACTCATTTCATACCCAATTTGTAAACGCTTTTTGTAAATTGAAGCGTACGGGTTATAATTATTTTCAAGGAACACCACGCCAATTAACGCACGCAGCGCATTAATTAAACTTGAGCTGGCTTCACAGAAAATGCGTTTAATATTTCAACTTCAGTTAAAGTGTGTTTTTTTTTCCCTTTGCAAAAAAAAGTATGCTTGTTACAGAAGAAAAATACTACTCTGAGAGACTATATAAACGTTTCCACATTATAGACTGTATATATTAACTGCAGTATATATAGTATTTTTGCCAAGGGACCTATATTGTTGCAGGTGGGAAAAGTCTTCGTCTAAATTATCTGTCTCTTTCTTGCTGTATACACCATGTATTATTTCCACTCATAACTCTGCCAGAATATTTCACAGACTAGTTCACATCTCTCCGTGAGCCGCACTGCTAACAGCTAAATAAACGCGGCCAAGAGCCTTAGAAGGTATATAAAAAATAAAATATTTTTTTATTTATTCACGACAGACCATGCAGAACCCTGAAAAAGAAACGTACAGACTTGCCGTGTAAACTATGCACAAATTATCTTTCAAGCTCTCTAGAGAAATGGTACCGAGCAGCAATTCTTTCTTCACTTGATCCGCGCTAACCAGAGTGGTGAAGTATGGCCAAACAACGAACCCCGTGACCGGCGCGGGGTGCAATTGAGCAGAGGCCTTCATATCCAGCAGTGGATTGACAGCGGGCTGTGATTGATTACTTCCGGAGTAGGGGTTGTTTGTTTTATCCCCGAACCGTTGTAGATTGGTAAAAGTTATCTAGGTGTTTGTATTACTTTCTTAATATTGGAAAAATAAATACTGTGTGTATATGTACTGCAAATATATACTTTTTCTTAGAGAGACTAATGTTATTTTTGTTTTACAATGTTTCCACTTACAGTTCGCACCGCCATAGGTATGCAGTCTACATTGGATTTTTTTCTACTTTAAAAAGTAATATTTGCCCTTAGTTTTAAATGCATTTTTTCTTTGAATTATAAAGAAATACCAAATTGAATTTTAATTAATTGCAGGCACTGACTAATCATAATTATTACATGAATGAAATGTCATAGCAAAGCTATTTTAATAAGGTAATACTTTTAAAAAACATGCTCAAACTTATTATTTCCCTGACATAAGAAACCAATAATTTAATTGTAAATTTTCTTCAAACGTTAGGCATGTATATCCATTGAACTTCTTTCGCACCGTACGTAGCCAACCGTGCTAATCGTGTATTTTTCATAAAACTCTAAGAAAAAACATTTATTTAATATTACATATACTCCGTAATAACATTAACTATTATTCCGTTATATTTATCTTTGGCGGTGAGCGGTGGCGCAGTGGTTAGCGCACTGCGCTGTGAGCCAGTCACCTATGTTAGATCCCCAGCCACGGTTTAGAGCAGTGGCGAGTGATACCTGGACGGATCGTCTATCCCGCATCCCTCCTTCGCTAAACCTGCACTACTTACCAGCGTAGTGAAGTATAACACAAACAACCCCTTACGACCGCCACGGCCGTGTGTAATGCCCTCATACAGCAGTGCAATGACAAAGACATTTCGTATCACGATCCTCTGTTAATTTTCTCGCATAAGTCAGACACATGTTATTTTTTTTTTTACTTACACAATATAATCCGTGTACCGTACTCTTCGGATCATAAGACGCCCTTTAACATGCATTGTATGCAAAAGTTGTGGGTGTGTCTCGTAATGCGGTAGGCTTATTATAAATGTATATTTGTCCAGGACTCCCTCGCTAATTGTTTAGAGTTCCCACACCTCCTATATCAAAAGTAACTCAAGTCAAACCCTTAACCATTTTCAATAACACAGCAACAACAGCACAAATTCAACATATTCGTCAGTAACAGTGTGTGCGTGTGTTTGCGGCTTTACAAGCACAACATATTCTTGGTTCTTTCGGTAAAGTCACGTAGAAGGGAAACAATAAAATAATAAAAATAAAAAAGCAATATTTTTTATTTATTTAATATTTTTATTATTCTATTGTTTCCCTTCTACGTGACTTTACCGAAAGAACCAAGAATATGAATCCCTGCAGTCACGAAAGCTTTAAATCAAAAGCACAACATATATAAATGCAACAGGCGACGTTTCATGCAATGGGCCTTTCATCACAATACAACAATTTCAATGAAGTTCTAAACGCTCACCACTCTCATCTCCCCCTCCCTCACTCCTCACCCAAAGACAAAGATCCCCCGTATAGCCTGTGACAGACTGTTGGGGCAAGTGCTGTTGGCCGGCACTTATGAAGGCCGGCACGGCGAACGAGGGGGTGTGTGGCGAACACCACGCCCGGCCGCCTTTGTCTCCCCAGTGGCGATGTTTACTACACACCGTATCGGGTACTCATTTGAGGCTGAGTCGACCTAGGGGAGGCCCAGGACCGGTTGAAATAATCGTCACCGGTGTTGGCCGTGAGCGGGAATCGAACTCTGGACGTCGGGTTCGTAGCGAAGCTTTGCGCTACACTACCGCAAAAAAAGACAAATATCCCCCGAATAGCCTTTGTAGACTTTAGGGGCAAGTGCTGTAAGCGAGCACCTATCTATAAAAACGGGCACGGCACACAAGGGGGTGGGTGGCCAACACAACGCCCGGCCGCCTTTGTCTCCCCAGCGGCGATGTTTACTCACCGCACCAGCTACTCATTTGAGGCCGAGTCGACTTAGGGGAGGCCCACGACCGGCTCAAATAATCGTCACTGGTGTTGGCCGTGAGCGGGAATCGAACCCGGGTTGCCAGGTTCGTAGCGCAGCGCGCTAACCGCTGCACCACCCCTCCCCACTCACCCACCCACCCCATCTCTGCGGCCAATCACGACTCAGCTCTCCCCACCCGTAGGCCACGCCCAACGGGCCCGCGAGCGCCGTCCAATGGGGTGAGGGGCGCCGGCGCCGGCGTTTGCGGGGGCCGCGGGACACGTGCGCAGAGTGGCTCAGTCGCTCCGTGCAGGCGAGAGGCGTGCACGACCACGCGTGCAGAGTGTGTCCAAGGGGCTTGTGTCCTCTTCAACAAAGGCGGCCCCGGGCTTCTCGTCTTCGTCTCTCTCTCTCTCTGCTCTCGCTCGCTCTCTCTCACCGCTACCCCCGCCACTCAGTAACAGGGAGAAAGAGAGAGACACAACTTACTTGGCTTGCTCTCACACTGCCTCGGCTACGCTGCTGTAAACTGCAACGCGCGCACCACGACTACGAAACCGACAAGGACGAATATAAAGATTTAACAAAAACAAAACAAAGTCCAGCGCGTCTTGTTCTCTCGATGCTGGATTAACTCAGCTGTAAAGATAGCTGGCATATACTTTTTTTGTTCTATTTTAAACGTTATATATTTTTTTCTGTCAAATAGCGGTGTGCAGGGCGGTGGTTTGAGCGAATACAACAGCTGGGACTTTAAACATCTGCTGTTGTTAAATTGCTATATATGCAACAGCAACATCATCAACAGCAGCAGCATCATCGTCGTCGCCGTCATCAACAACAACAGACCAGCGGCGAAAGTAGCCAATAAACTCTCGGGCTTGCTGAGATTTCCCCCCTCTCGCCTTTGAAAAAGAAAACCCCCTCCAGTTTCTACGACAACTCCTGCTGCTGCTCCTGCTCCTGTTGTTGCCCGCACGACGAGTCCCTTCCTCGTCGCCTCTCGACATGTGGCTCATTCTCGTGTGGATGTGGGCGGCTGTCATAGGCAGCGGGACAGCCGGGGGAGCGAGACATTCGGTGTACTGGAACAGCAGCAACCCCAGGTGAGTCGTCTCGGAGCGAGCGAAGCGTCTGACTTGAATGAGTGAGTCGCGTTGGGGGGGGGGTTGCGTCCTTAATAGGTGCTCGCAGACAGCACTCACCCCCACGGCTCGGGGTAGAGGATACGAGGTTGATGAAGCTGGGCTTGGCGCGAGTGGTTGAAGTTAAGTGCCCCACTGAGTCGAGTGCGTTGCTGAGTGGGGCGCCCGTAATAGGTGCTCGCAGACTTCGCGTTGGAGGATGCGCGGTTGATGGAGCTCGACTTGGCGTGAGTGCGTGAGAGTTACCCGAGCGGTGTGTAAATACATCGGCACAGGGGAGACAAAGGCGGCCGGGCGTGGTGTTGTCCACCCCACCCCCTGATGTGCCGTGCCGGACTTCATAGGTGCTGCTCGCTAACAGCACTTGCCCCAACAGTCTGTCAAGGCTATACGGGGGGGGGGGTCTTTGTTTTTTTAGTGTGTGGTTGAGTGGCCCCGCTGAGTTGAGTGGTGCACAACTCGAGTTAAATAGGCGCTCGCAAATCGCGAGGGTTTAAAACTGGGGGGGGGGGGGGGGGGGGGGCTCTGCGCGTGAGTCGCGTTGAAGAGCGCGCGGGCAGCGGTGGCGCGGTGCAATCGGCGCCGGTTCGCGCGGCTGCGTCTCCCGGACCCAGGCGGATCGACTTCGGTGCCCACGCGCACGGCCAACACCGGTGAAGATTTTTGTGGGTTTTTGTGTGTTTGTGTTTGAACCCGGCGATGGGCCTCCCCTAGGTCGACTTAGCCTCGAGCTAAGTCGGCCTGGTGCGTTGGTTCTGGGGAGACGGAGGTGGCCCGGGGCGTGTTTTGTGTGCCGTCTACCCTCGCTTGCCGCGTCTGCCTTCGACATTAGGACTTGCCCACCCAAAGTCTGTCGAGGCTGCACCGCGGTGCGGCGAGCCTTGTGTTGAAGCGGGCGTGTGTGAACTGCGTCGCGTATGCTCTTAATAGGTGCTCGCAGACAGCACTCGCGCACACAACGATGAGCGGATCGCGAGGGCAATGGACAGTGAGCGCCTTTGTCTGCTACTCGTGTTGGTGGGGTGGGGGGTGGTGGTGCGCGTTTCGTTAGCGTGCAAGCCTCAACATAATAAAGTATGGTTCATAAAACGTAATAACCTCGCAATTAGTGTATCATTGCCTGCCGCTGTACACGCCTATTTAAATACCATGGAGTATCGTGTGCACATTGAATGCACCGTTTATTGTTTACGATCCTTTTATCAACCCACCGCTTGGATGAATTCTTCCACCCACGCCGCGTTTGTCTTTGTTGTTTGACCATACTTCACCACGTTTGGTGCCAGTGCGAGTTGGTTCCAGGGACCGGTGTAAATCCGTGACCGAGGCGTAGCGCGCTAACCACTGCGCCACCGCTCCACGCTCGACCCTCCCATCATAATAAGTGACGAATGCATTGTTGCTCTCTAGATTTTTCAAATACTGTATAGTGCATCATACTTGCACAATAAACAGAACGAGGGTGACATGTATCTCCTGCAAGTGCACGCTTGCACTCAGAGTTTACTGTGCACGCACGTGTTTTTTTACCGGGCACCATAGGTTGATGTATGCACGTACAGTAGTCCTCGTGTGCACACATATATGCACGGGAGTCTTATGTTTAAATCACTATTTCAGTCACTGATGTGGAATCATCGTCAACATCAGCCGTGATGCGCAGAGACTTTGAGGCGCATTGCATCACTTAGATATTGGGGCTAAACATCATCACCGTGCGGTGCTGGTGTCCGCCTCTATAACTGCACATATACCGCATCGACTTGGCGCGTGTACGTGAACAATGTGTAACACATGAGAATCCATACGTAACATGGATTGGCCAATAACACACGCGTGCATGTATGAACAATGTGTTATATACGCGGCACGTATGCGCATGCCGAATACAATATGCATTCATGTATAACGCACTTGTGTCGACTCAACGATGCACGCGCATGAATTACGTTACATATACATACCTGTATATCCAGACGTGAAAAGCCAATGTATGCTTTGCATAGGTGCACACACGTGCATGTGTTCGTATAAGTGCCGAGCGTCTAAAGTGCTGTGTGTGTCTAAGTATGGGCACATTATGCGTCCTTTAATCATCATCATCATCATCAGACATGCTGGATTGTCCCATCCAGCAGCAATCTTTAACTCATGTGCAACGATCCCCGTTATAGTGAAGAGCATGTCACGCAGCTGTTGTTGTGAACGAAAACAAAAACATGACATTTTTAATGCCCGTGCTGAAACGAGGGTGCATCTTACGCACAGCGAGCATTGGCAGTATTGAAGTCTCTCTTATCCCATTGTCTTAAGAGCTGTTGTAGACTCGTCAGAGATGAAGAAGAGGCTGGCTCTCATTATCCCGCGGTTGAAAGAGTGAAACATCATCGACCCACGTTTGTCGGGAAGACGGCAAGAATCGTCGCGCGAGGAATGTGGAATTTTCCGCAACTGGCTTAAACTCGTCAACGGATGCCAACTGCCTTTTCCTGTGCACAGTGATGATCAATGGGTCACATCAGATTGAAAGTGCGGATAGTGTAGTCTCTAGCTTGCATTGCAAATCTATGTAAGGGAGTGTGAGCGCGCGCGCGCGTATTTCCCAGTTAATTATAGGCTTGCAACATAACACAACCCACTGGGCGTATAATTGTCTGTGCTATTGTGCAATTGATAGAAGTTTGCATCAGCCAGCCGGGGCATGTTAAGCGGGAGGAGGAGGAGAGAGGGTTTGTGGATTGCGCCGTGAATTCCAATCGCTTGGGACCAACGTCACACCTTTGAATGCGCGCCCCATCTCGGAAGCTGAGCAGGGCTCAGCCTGGTGATTGGTTCTCGGATGGGTGGACCACCCTGGGGGCTATCCTGGGCTGCGTGGTGGCCAAGCAGAGAAAGGAACCCATGATACAAAAAAAAAACTACTTCCAGCAACTTATAATCGTGCCGTTCATTGCAGTAAATTATCGCGCTGTACGCAATTAATTTGCGTGGGTATGTTGCACGCGTGTTTCCGTGCGTACGTACGTACGTCGTGTGTGTGTGTTGCCGTGTGTAAGTGCGTTGCATTTGTGTGTGTGTAAGTACGTTGTGTGTGTGTGTTGCCGTGTGTAAGTACGTTGTGTGTGTGTCTGTGTGCAAGTACGTTGTGTGTGTCTGTGTGTAAGTACGTTGTTTGTGTGTGTTGCCGTGTGTAAGTACGTTGTGTGTCTGTGTGTTAGTACGTTGTGTTTGTGTGTCTGTGTGTAAGTACGTTGTTTGTGTGTGTCTGTGTGTAAGTACGTTGTTTGTGTGTGTTGCCGTGTGTAAGTACGTTGTGTGTCTGTGTGTTAGTACGTTGTGTTTGTGTGTCTGTGTGTAAGTACGTTGTTTGTGTGTGTTGCCGTGTGTAAGTACGTTGTGTGTCTGTGTGTAATTACGTTGTGTTTGTGTGTCTGTGTGTAAGTACGTTGTGTTTGTGTGTGTCTGTGTGTAAGTACGTTGTATGTGTCTGTGCGTAAGTACGTTTTGTTTGTGTGTCTGTGTGTAATTACGTTGTGTGTATGTGTGTCTGTGTGTAAGTACGTTGTGTGTGTCTGTGTGTAAGTACGTTGTGTTTGTGTGTCTGTGTGTAAGTACATTGTGTGTGTGTTGCTGTCCTGGTTTGCGTGGTGATCCCTCCCTGGGTACACGATGTCTTCTTCCACTCGAAGCCAAACTCTTAATTGATTTGGCCCAAGCCATCGATAGAGAAGGACCCTTCTGAAAAACGAGTCTTGAGAATCAGCGAGGCTTTCCTGGGTGAATGACCGGCAACTCCTGTAAGAAGTTTTATTAATATAAGGATAGGTTTTACCCTTTCTGTACAATTATTATTATAGCCAAGCAATGGAACGCGTCCGTCCGAGAGGACATCCGGCATTGGAGATGGAGCGTTGAATTAACCGCAGGTGCTGGATCCAGGATTATTGCTGCGTCGGTATAAGCTTGATTTATGTATTCATCCAAAGGAAACGCGTAGTGTATATGCAAAGGCTTAAATTTTTCACTAAATACAAACAAATATTTCCCCGGCACCTAACGAGTATACATCGCCACAAAGAAGATGTACACTGGACGTGGTGTGCCGATCCGGACAGACCCCGGCTGAAGTTACAGTCCTCAGTATACGTAACGGCTCCTGACCAGCTCGGCTGTGCTCTTTTACTTCCGTGACAGTGTTGTGTCACCGTGGTTGAGAGGCGTCTTTCTTTGCCTTTTCGAGTCACGCTGTCTCGTTCGTGAAGGCTGCTTGAGCCACTTCGCGCGGACCATTTCCCCACGGTTCGATTCCCCGCCATTGGCGCTCACGCTGTGCAAAAACAATTATTTACGCGCGCAAATCACCAAAGGGATTCGTAGCATGGATCTTTATACATCGACGGTAAAGACTGCACCGTTATTTTTCAGTAATAGCCCATCATGTTATGTTTTTTGTCCGGATTACAAGACGCACTCCCGATAGGTGTGTCTTTACGTGCGAGACCATTTTTGTCGAACTCTATTGATGTGACACGCGTTAGACCTTTCCATGGCTGCGTCTTTTACTTTGCCGAGCGTCTCATAATCCGGAGCGAGAACAGAGCGATAGAAACCATGGTGGCACACACACACACACAGCCACACACACACAGCCACACACACACACAGCCACTGCTGTCTCTGTGTGTGTACAGAGCCTCTACCCACGTTGGAGCTCTGGATGCGTTTAGCATGCGGCTGAGCGCTGCGCTATTGAGTGCCAACGGGCATCCATTTACGCTCCTCGCCTGCCCTGTAGAGAGTTCCAACATGAACCGCGGGAGTGCATATCATGCATCCATCTGCGTGCCAACTGTTGCACCGCGGCAGTTTGGTCTAGAGGAGGATTGTGTTCACTGTAGCTCATCATGACAATCTTCACCATCGTCATCATCATCATCATGGTATTGTATATCAGTGCTGTA